GGAGTAGGCAAAATTAGCCGAACCTCGTAAATTCTGGTGTTCCCTTTATTATTGCTTTATTGTTTTAGTTATTATTTGGTGGCTGTCATAATTTTTGGTATAGTAGTTGTGACTTATTCACACTCTATACATTTGGCTTCCGCAACAATAAACACTTTGGAAAATCATCTTTGAATAGCAGCAGAAGCTGATTTCAAAAGGTTATAAACACTTTTAAAGCTTAGCCAAACACAATTTGATGATCTAATATTGGAAAAAGTACTTTTCAAACTACCAAACTAAACATAAATTGTTTTTATTGAAAAGCACTTTATCATAAAGCACTTATAATAAAAAATACTTTCCAAAATAAGTAAATTTTGGAGGCTTGATTAAACAAACTATATTGTTTAATTTGTTTCCCAATAATATAGGCCAGAAAGCATACGAAACGCAATAACTGAGAAACATACAAAATTATTTATTAACGTCAAATTCATTGACCTTAAACCAAATCAATATCCAAAAAGGAAAATAAAAAGCAAAAGAGAGCTAAAAATAACTTTAAAAACTTTGCCGTGTTTTGTCTAAAACTCCCTAAAAAGATTGGTGATGAATAATGTGGAATAATAATTTTTTTTAAAAAGTACTTGGCTTAACCTTTTTCTAACTGAAGTGATGTAATATATTTAATTTACATATAAATTGGATAACCAAAAATCAAGCGTACAACATGCATATTGCTATCCATAAAGAATAATGATACTATCCTTTGAAACCATATGCATATTGGTAAGTACAATAGCAGTCCAAAACGAATTCTAATTTTACATCCATGTGTAGTTTAAATCGAATAAGAAGATTCCGTTTATAATATTTTAAAATTTGAAATTACATCCATTTTTAACTTGGTTCATTAACAAATATTTTAATTTTTAAGGGCATAAGAGTCTATCAATATTACAGGGATATTTTTATCTATCAACATTTAACGTAAATTATTCGTGCTTAATTTTATAATAATATAGATAGATTTTGCTGTATTTTAGGGAATATGTTTTATATATTTATTATGTTTATGTTGTAGAATATGTTAATTATTTTAGTTGTTATAAATTCTGAAATTTTTTATGAATTCATACGTAACATGAAAATTTCCCTTATATTTTTGTGAGTAATTATGTGGTTTAAAGTCCAAATGAGCACAGAACTAGTTCTACGATTTAAGTCCAAATATTTTTGTGATTTAGTTAAGAAAATAATTTTTATAAAGATATCATCCAAGTAAAAAACTCTATTCTTAAATCCTAGTGAATATATTATAGGATTCGGAACATATGACACTGCCCCGAACTGTTTCTAGCCGTATAAGCCTCACACGGCGAACTATCGCCGCACGATCTCATTACTTGGATTGCAAATCGTATTGAAGTGATGGAAGATTTCATTGCTTTTGGCACAGTTTGTTTCTCATGGCGAACTGCTGCCACTAAGAATAGTTTTGATGCGCTTTCCCCCCAAGTCCCGTTGCTGATTATCGGGAATTTTATTCTCTTTCCAAAGTTGTTTTCCTTTTCCAGCAGAGGGGTGGCTGTTCACCATGTCATGTAATTAACCAAATTCAACTGCATGCCTTCACAACAAGCTTTAAGGGATTTATTTAGAGGGTCTCAAAGAAGTACCTAATCTATCGCTGCATTGACAAAGCTGTTTTATCTGCCTATCCTTCGGCCCGGAGATCTCAATTGGACTAGTATTGACACTAGAAGATTCGGTGGTGCAGTCTCTAGTATCAATTACTATTATCAAGGTAAATTTTATGCTGTCTTTTACACCGCGAAGTTTGGGTTTTTGACGGACGTTGCAGGGCCTAGTATTGCTCAACCAATTGTAAAGCCACACTTGCTTGTTTTTCTTAGAGATGATATTTTTCGCCAAGAATCAGTTCAGTTCTATCTAGTTGAGTTATACGGTGCGCTATTGCTTGTTACCCGATTTGGCCATCATAATGACGAAGATTATGGTTACGATACTTTTAAATTTAAAGTATCTGCACTAGATGTAATAAAACGTGAATTGCGGGAGATCAACAACTTGGGAGATTCAACAATTTTTTTGGGCCGTAATGGAGCAAGTTCCGTTGACTCTTCCAAGGTGACGGGAGTCAAGCCTAATCACATATATTTTACCGATGATTGGGTTGAGGAATTTGACTACGTGGAAGGTGGTGGTGGAAGAGATATGGGGGCTTACAATCTTGAAAATGAAAATATTGAATCTTTTTATCCTGGATTATCACTGTGTCGTATTTGTCCGCCAACTTGGGTCACACCGTCATTCGGATAATGTGATTTCACTTTTCTCTGCTCATGAATTGTAGTATAATTATTTTTTATTATATCCAAAGTGTCATTCTAAAGTTAAGTTGATCTATTTATTTTCCCTCATTGTAATCTTGTAATCGTGGCTGAGGGATGGTGTATGAATGTTATCCTTTATAATCAATTCTAATTTTGCTTTTTCTAGATTCTTAATGGATGATGGATGGTGTATGAATCTTGTAATCTGCTTTCTCTTATTGATATTCATTTTGCAAATATTAACCCTAGCGTTTGATTCCCCTCCTACATTCAATCTCTTTCCGGCATGTCATTTTAGTTGTCTGTGTAATGCTATAATGAAATTGCATAGCGAGAATTTTATAGGTAAGACAAATACACGGCTCAGATGCAGAATGTTATTAACTTAGAGTTGACAGGATGTAGCATCCAGGCTTCAATTGTCAACTGAAGTGTTTAAGGCTACAACTTCTATCTCACTCAAGAAGGACCATTATCTACCTGTAAAATATTTTGCTTGCTGATCTTATGGAGCCCGAGATCAAAAGGTAAGAATACTTTCATCTATTACATTTGCAAAGCTGTTCAATAAGAATTCTATATATTATTTGCTATATTCAGTTTAGCTTTTTGTTGCATCGTTGAGTTTGTTTTGATTGACTTTTTAATAAGTAATCTTATTGACGACACCTAGGAGGGAACTGTGTAGGTACAAAATTATCTGAATTTGATCCCTCAATTATTTATGGGATAAATGAACTCCAGTACAAATTCTATATTGCACTAATAGTCAAATTATTTAGACATTTATAGTGTACAAAAGGTAAGAGTTCTACATTCCGTTGGAGCATCTATGAGTTCTTTCAAGCTAAAACTGCCCAACACATACTTAAAATCACATGTATTATCACCAGTGCATCCACTGTGGTTTAGGAACATGTATCAACCCTGCCATATGTATCTACAATGCAAAGGAATGTGATTGACTGATTCTACTTTTTCCTTTACAAAAATCACACGTTGACTGATTCTGCTTTTTCCTTCACAAAATCACATGTTCTGCACAAGTTGTAACTTCTTTTCTGCAAATTATCCTGGGTTAAGCATGCGTTGTTTACAGCAGTCCATCAAGCCAAGCCACTTTTGGTGGTGTTTTTGTTTTCCACATTGTCCTCTAAGCCTATTTGCACCTGTTTCCAACCTGTCCTCTTAGCGGTAAGTTATACAGTAATCTTAGTTCTTACTAAAAACTAACCATGCCCATCCTCCTCCACTGTAGGGTAGCCCACTCATTTGTACACTGATTAACATGCTTAAGGAGTTCTAGTAGTGCATTACTCTACTGATCTCTCAGTCATTGATTTTCCTTTAAACTGGAAGATCCAATTCGCTTCACTTAGACACTGTACATTAATGCTTTTCTTGTCTAGCCATTTATTTATCTTCTTTTATTTGTTCAACCACAATTTTTTCTTTTTTTTTTCATTGCCTATTTTTATTTGACCTTGTCCAAGGATTTCTCCCATAACTTACAATATGTTTCTAAGCTGTGACTCCATGAGTGGATTAACTGGTTTAGTGCACTAGTCATTTCCTTTACCATATATAGTTTGGTCACTCTTTTCTTAGAATTTTTAGTTTGATGAGTTCCTGCAATGACACTGCAACTTGAGGAGTTTTTGGCCAAAAAAGCTTCCTTGAACTACGAGCCAAATGAAAGGTGCATTCATGTGTTACTATAGTGAACAAAAATCATCTCTAATAATAAAATTGTAATCGAACAGAATAGGCTAGGGGTCTCATTCTGATTGTGGTTCATACAATCTCTTATAAATATTCTACTCATTTATAAAATTTGTTATCATTCTCAAAAAGATCAAAATATGAATTTTCTTAAGTTCTTCAAGTTCTTATTTTCACAAGATTATCAACGTCGGTTGACGTATTCTAACACTTGCAAAAAATTTAGGTCAATACGACGAATGTTATTTTCATGTAGTAAAATGGTTTCAGGTTTGACCGCGTGGGCCGGACTTTGCTTTTTGTTGACTTTTGAGCTTTTGTTAAAGGTTGAAGCTTTATCATTTGAAATTGATATGGCATAGCAAATCACAGTTAACAAATCCTTCAGCAAGTAATGTAGAAGAAGGAGAGAATTCAGATTTTTTCATGATGAAATTTTTTATCTTTAGTTTTCCTCAGCAAATACAATAATGTCTTTCAAGATGAAGAAGATGAAGAGAACATAATTTAACAAATCCCACTCGTCAACTACATTAACCAATTAAAACATTGTTGGAACAAGAAAGAAGAGAAAGCTTATGCACTTTTAACTTGATTTGTGAAGCGCAACTGTAGCATATGAACATAAATTGATAATGTCCATCTCATTGAAGAAGTATTAGGCATGTGCCTAATAAAAGTTTTTTTGGTTTGGTAGCCAACCTTGTTGACTTGGTTTGGTTTGGTAGTCAACCTTGTTGACTTGGTTTGGTTATGTAGCCAACCTTGTTGAATTAGTTTGGTTTGGTAGCTAACCTTGTTGAATTTCTTTGGTTTGGTAGCCAACTTTGTTGAATTGTGAAAAGTGTGTAAATTGTCAAATATTGTAGGCTTTAGAGAGTGAAGCTTTGGCTATAAAAGGAGAGCTTCAACTCTCATTTCTTCACACCAACAAAGAGAGAAAGAAAGAGTGAAGTTTCACAAACAGGGTATAAGAAAATAGTCTGTGGGGAAAATAGAGAGTGAGCGATATTGTAGTGAGGTGAGAATATCAAAAGGNATCAAAAGAGGGTTATTTCTTTTGAGTGTTGTAGTGGTCTTTGGAGTATTTTACTCGGACCTACAAAGTGTAAAATTCGTTACTATAGTGATATCAGTTGCTCCTCTCGGGGCCGTGGTTTTTACCCCTTATTAAAAGGGTTTTCCACGTAAAAATCTTGGTGTCATTGTTACTCTTTTATTCTTGTTAATTATCACATCTGGGTGCTACATTATTATTCCGCTTTTATTACCGTGAATATTATTTCTATGGAGGTTTATTCCCAACAACTGGTATCAGAGCACAGGTTCTGCTCGTTCGCTGAAATACTATTCACTATCGGTAGTACTATACTCGGTGAAAAATAAAAATGTCCGGAGTAAAGTACGAGGTAGCAAAATTCAACGGAGATAACAGTTTCTCAACATGACAAAGAAGGATAAGGGATCTGCTCATCCAACAAGGATTACACAAGGTGCTAGATGTTGATGCCAAAAACCCTGATACCATGAAAGCTGAGGATTGGGCTGACTTGGATGAAAGAGCTGCTAGTGCAATCAGGTTGCACTTATCAGATGATGTGGTAAATAACTTCATTGATGAAGACACTGCACGTGGAATTTGGACAAGGTTGGAAAGCCTATACATGTCCAAAACGCTGACAAATAAATTGTACCTGAAGAAGCAGTTATACGCCCTACACATGGGTGAAGGTATGAATTTTTTGTTACATTTAAATGTGTTTAATGGACTAATCACACAGCTTGCCAACCTCAGAGTGAAAATCGAGGAAGAAGATAAAGTCATCTTTCTATTGAACTCGTTGCCATCTTCGTACGATAATTTGGCAACAGCCATCCTGCACGGTAAGACTACTATTGAGTTAAAAGATGTTACATCGGCTCTTTTACTCAATGAGAAGATGAGAAAGAAGCCTGAAAATCAAGGACATGCTCTCATCACAGAAGGTAGAGGCAGGAGTTATCAAAGGAGTTCGAACAACTATGGTAGATCCGGAGCTCGTGGGAAGTCAAAGAACCGATCCAAATCAAGAGTCAGAAATTGCTACAACTGTAATCAACCAGGTCACTTCAAAAGAGATTGCCCAAATCCAAGGAAGGGCAAAGGTGAAACCAGTGGCCAGAAGAATGACGACAACACAACCGCCATGGTGCAAAACAATGATAATGTTGTCCTCTTTATAAATGAGGAAGAGGAATGCATGCACCTGTTAGGTCCAGAGTCAGAATGGGTCGTTGACACAGCGGCTTCTTACTATGCCACACCGGTAAGAGATCTTTTTTGCAGATATGTAGCAGGTGATTTCGGCACAGTGAAAATGGGTAACACAAGTTACTCAAAGATTGCGGGGATTGGTGACATTTGTATCAAGACAAATGTCGGATGCACATTGGTTCTAAAGGATGTGCGGCATGTACCTGATTTGCGGATGAACTTGATCTCGGGAATTGCTTTAGACCGAGATGGATACGAGAGTTATTTTGCAAATCAAAAGTGGAGACTCACTAAGGGATCATTGGTGATTGCAAAGGGAGTTGCTCGTGGCACGTTGTACAGGACAAATGCAGAAATATGCCAAGGTGAATTGAACGCGGCACAAGATGAGATTTCTGTAGATTTATGGCACAAAAGAATGGGTCATATGAGCGAGAAGGGATTGCAGATTCTTGCCAAGAAATCACTCATTTCTTATGCCAAAGGTACAACTGTAAAACCTTGTGACTACTGTTTATTTGGTAAGCAGCATAGAGTCTCATTTCAGACATCGTCTGAAAGAAAATTGAATATACTTGATTTAGTATATTCTGATGTTTGCGGCCCAATGGAAATTGAATCAATGGGCGGTAACAAATATTTTGTTACTTTTATTGATGATGCTTCACGAAAATTATGGGTTTATATTTTGAAAACCAAAGATCAGGTGTTTCAAGTTTTCCAGAAATTTCATGCTCTAGTAGAAAGGGAGACGGGTCGAAAGCTAAAGCGTCTCCGAAGTGACAATGGAGGTGAGTACACTTCAAGGGAATTTGAAGAGTATTGTTCAAGTCATAGGATCAGACATAAAAAGACAGTTCCTGGAACCCCGCAGCACAATGGCATAGCTGAGAGGATGAACCGCACCATTGTGGAGAAGGTGAGAAGCATGCTTAGAATGGCTAAACTGCCTAAGTCATTCTGGGGTGAAACAGTTCAGACAACCTATTACCTGATCAATAANGGAGAAG